TGTATACAGGGTCCCTGCAGCACAGTGAGGTCCTGGTGGTGTAGTGGGAAAGTGCTTGGCTGCAGACCGAAAGATGGGCAGGTCAAACTTACTAGTCACTGTGCAGGAGAAAGATGTGGCCATCTGCTGCCCTAAAGATTTATAGCCTCGGGAACCCTATGGGGCAGCTCTGGTCTGTCACTTGGGGTCTCTCTGAGTCAGAATCTGTTTGTAATCAATGGTTTGGTTTGGTTTTAGTATTATGTTGTTGTTGTTAGGTGCCATCAAGTCAGTACCGACTCATAGCGACCAAGATGGCCAAACTTCATCTCTCGTGCTTCAGATATATTGTCAGGAGGGACCAGTCACTGGAGAAGAATAGCATGTTTGGTAAGGTGGAGGGTCAGAGAAAAAGAGGAAGACCCCCAACGAGATGGACTGGACAAGTGGCAGCATCGATGGACTCAAACATGGCAACAGTAGTGAGGTTGGCCCAGGATCAGGCAGTGTTTCGTTCTACTGTGCATAAGGACACTATGGGTCGGTACTGACTCAATGGCACCTAACAAGAACAATGGATAGATAAGAATGGACATTGAAGATATGTGACAAGACTCTTGTCATGTTCCGTGTGAAACATTATGATCAGAAATTAGACTTAGTCATGCATTAGATATGGATGATGAGGGAGGGCTAGTTGGATATTACAGGGGTATCCTGGGTATTTCTCTGACTTGTGTAATTGGATGGATGCCACGTGGCACCACTCACTGACAGGAAACTAAAGAAAAGGACACGTTTGGAGTGGGATGCCATAGGTTTAATTTAAGATATCTTGAGTTTTAAGTATCTTTGAGACTTGGATTTCATTTTCCATATGATGTCTTGTGTTCTTAGGGTAAAGTTCCGGATCCTTATCTTGCAAGGGTGACTGCCCCTATCTGTGTATTTTGTCTCATTTTGTCCCAGGCTCCTCTTTGTTTTCTGTGCTTAGCCTCCTTCTTCAGTCTCTTCCACCTTCCATACGCCCTCTTTAGCTGTGTTCCCTACAAAACAATAGGAAGCATCAACCTTTCCTCCCCCAACCTGCTTACTCTGCTGGGTTTGTTAATTCGTTGTCGTGGCCACACAGGACTCAGGCACCACACTCACTCACAGTCACGGGGTTTACTAGGGAAGTTAACAGGTTATAATTCAGGATCAGAAAATACTCAGGGCTGTTCCATCAGCTGCTGATAGATGCCCATAGGACACACCTACTACACCATTAGTCTTGGCCTGAAGGCTCTTGGCTCCAGCTCTGTGAGTCAGCATTCCTAGTTCCCCCACCGAAGTGCCTGGAAACACCCCACTCAACAAGCCAGTTTCCTGCCCTGAGTCACTCAGTTTAACTTGGCCGTGAGCCGGGAAGGACAACTGCTTCTACTGCTGATGCTCTTCTGCCACTCCTTCCGTGTCACAACTTTCTGTCCCTGAGTCGAGGAGGTTCAGTGCACAGGGATCTCAGGGTCCAAAGGACGTGTGCACCTTTGATGGTAGTGAGAGCCCCCTCCCCACCTCCTGCCTCAGAGATGGGTCATTTTATACCCATGCTGGAGGTTCAAGTTTTTACAATGACAGTGAACTCTACAGCATCCACAGCTGAATTATGGCACCCTATTGGTTTCTTCTCCCACCTTCTCTGACCCTGACCCAGACCCCGAGGGGTAGAAGCATTGTTGGGTGGGAATTACAGACTCTGGCTAAAAGAGACCCTAGATGATTCCTTGCCCCACACTCCTCATTAGTACTCCTCTTACTTATTCTAAGTGAAGCAGGAAGATTCCTTAGATTTCAGTGCACTACGCTATATGTATACTATGGTGGTATCAGTGATTGGGCCACTGAGTCAGTTCTGACTCGACTTGTAGCAACCCTGTGTAGAGTTCCTGAGGCTATAAATCTTTACGGGAGCAGAAAGCCTCATTTTTCTGCTGTGAAGCAACTGATAGCTTCGAACTGCTGACCTACAGCCCAGTTCGTAATTCACTACACTAGCAGGCCTCTTTATACTTACACTGTGTTGTTGGCAAGCGCTGTCAAGTCAGTGTCAACTCAGAGCGACCCTGTAATAGGGGTTTTGAAGCTGTTAATCTCTACTGGAGCAAAAAAGCCCATGTTTCTACCATGGAGAGACTGGTAGATTTGAACTACTGACCTTTCAGTTAGCAGTCCAGCTCGTAATCCACTATACTACCAGCGCTCCTTGTTGTTGTTAAGTGCCATCAAGTAGGTTCATAGCAACCCTGTATAGGGTTTCCGAGGAGCAGCTGGTGGTTGAAATCAACCAATAAGAAGCCTGAGCAACAGGATCATTGTTAAGTGCTGTCTAGGTGGTTCTGACTCATAGTGACCCTGTATAGGGTTTCCTAGGAACAGCAGGTGAGCTTGAACTGCCAACCTTGAGGTTCAGGTTGACCTTGCAGTCCAGCACATTAACCCACAGCACCACACCAGGATGCGTACGCCTAATTAGTTGTCATGGTTTATGAAAAATATGATTGAGTTAAATTTTAAATCTTATGAATTTATTTCTAGAAACATTTTCATTTGTTCCATAAGAAATTGTTATAAACAAATTTCCAAGGTGGTTTGTTTTGTTTTGTTTTTTTTTGTTTGATTTTTAAGGAAGGCTTAAATGAATAGTAGAAAATAATATAAGTAAAATTCAACTTAGATGAAGAGAGGGAACAAGATTGAAGGTTTCAAATATAATAAAAATGAAGAACTACCAATAGTCTTTTGAGGTAGACTTTATTATTACTCTCATTTTACAGATAAGAAAACTAAGATACACAGAGAGTAAGCAGGTTGCTTAAGGTTACCTAGCAGTGCGTGGTGGGGCTAAGATTTTGAACCCCCTGGAATCTGACTCTACAGGAATCTGACTCCTAGTTTTTACTATGATGAGAAATAGCCTCATGGTGCGGGAGAGTTCATAATGACTAAGTTTGACTCTGCAGAGGTGATAACTGTCTGAAGTGTTATCTGCATGCGTAAAAAAATATATGTACTCTTTACTTCTTTGATCCCTGTGCTTCAGTCAAATGCTCTTTCTTTTCCGACGTAGAACAAAAACAAAATTGAGTAACAGTGCAAACAATTGTATATTATAAAATTTTAATGGGATAGACAAAATTATTTTTCTAGATGTTTTTGTAACATTTGTGGTTAAATAAGTATCTGAAAGAGGTATATTAGGAGGACTAGTTTATATGTTTGTTCTGATTTTGCTCAAAACAGAAAGCCAGCTGTTTATCTCAGATAGTTTTAAAGTACTGTTTAAAACAAAGCAATCTATAAAAGTTACTAAGTTTTACAAGACTATTATTAAGGGTAAAGCATGCAAGGACATGACAGACTCATTTTCAGAACAAACTGCCAACAAAAATTAAAATGCCATGAGTAATTTGAGTGTCAAATTATAATGTCATTTACAGTTGAGTGCGCTTTTGAAGCCCCCTCATAGTTGCAAACAGTAGAAGGATAGGCTATCGGGAAATGATACATCCATAGCAGAAACAGCTCCAATTTGTGTGGCTTTATTTGTTCTTCATGCTGTTATGGATATATAGCTTTTGATGGATGTGTTTGGAGATTTGAATTTACACAGCTATTGTTACCTCTGTACCTGAGGTCAGCTTTACTTAGTGGAATTCTGAGTATCTTTCTTTGGTAGTCAATATTGGCTTTTTTTCTCTGAATCCAGCTAAACAATTCTTATTTATTACCCCCCCCCCTCCACCAGAGCTTGTTCTGCAGCCAAACACTTCTTCCTTAATTGGTTTTTTCCTGAGTACTTGTTCTAAGAATTGTAATAGGAATTTCAAATAAATTGCCAACCTTATAGAAACATTTATTTGTTCTGTTAATTTAAAATATAAGGTTAAGTTATAAAAAGAATAATATGACAGTGTTGTTGTTAAGTGCCATCAAGTTGGTTCCAACTCACAGTGGCCATGTATGGGGTTTCCGAGGAAAGGCTGATGGGTTTGAACTGCTAACCTTGAGATTAGTTATTGTTGTTGTTGTTAAGTGCCGTTGAGTCGGTTCCGACCCATAGCGACCCTGTACAGGGTTTCCAAGGGTAGTCCAATGCTTATCCTATATGGGCATGCCAGGACCCTGATGTGACATTTGTTGTTGGGAAGTGCCGTCAAGTTGGTTCTGACCCATAGCAACCCTGTATAGGGTTTCTGAAGAGCAGCTGGTGAACTTGAACCACCGACCTTGCAGTTAAAATGACTTTGCAGTCTGGCACATTAACCCACAGCGGCACATCAGGACTCCTGATATGACAATAAAGACCCTCCAAAACAGTCATCATTGTTGTTGGTGTTAAGTGCCATCAAGTTAGGTCCAACTGATTTCAATCCTGTACGGAGTTTCTGAGGAACAGCTGGTGTGTTTGAATCTTTGACTTTGAGATTAGTTACCCACTGCTTATCCTACAGCACCACACCTGGACCTTGATGTGGCAATACATAGCCTCAAAAGCCGCCATTGTTGTTAAGTGTCATTGAGTCAGATAGCAACCTTGTATAGGGGTTTCTGAGGAGAAGCTGGTGAGTTTGAACCGCCAACCTTGCAGTTCAAACCGACCTTGTGGTCGAGTGCTCAGTCATGGTGAATTTCAAAGGAGCATATTTTAGGTGAAAAAAAGGTCACAAAATCCTGAGAAGAAAATAGGAACTTTTTTTTTATAGCTTTGTCTAGATAAAGAGCAGAAAGAATTTTAATCCTGAAATCACCCCATGAATTCCATGTGCTTTTATGTCATTATCAAAACTGTCATATCTGTTAATTTTTTATATATGTTACATGCAGTTGAGGGCACTAATTGTAGTTCATTTGGCTTCTTTTGTTTTCGCTTTTTGATCTGTGGACTATTTACATTTATTAATGAGCCAAAACCTGGTGTGAGCATGATGCTATTCAAAGTTAGACTTCATGATGTTCACCTTCTAATTTTTTCCTTTCAGATGGTCTTCTGGTGGTTGGTGTTCACTCAGCCAAGTTTCCTAATGAAAAAGTCCTGGATAACATTAAGAGTGCTGTACTTCGCTACAATATCACCCACCCTGTGGTTAATGATGCAGATGCCAGCCTTTGGCAAGAACTAGAAGTCTCTTGCTGGCCGACTCTGGTCATACTTGGACCCCGTGGAAACATGCTGTTTTCTTTGATGGGAGAGGGACACAAAGATAAATTGTTTTTATATACTTCAATTGCATTAAAATATTACAAAGATAAGGGACAGATCAGAGAGAAAACAATTGGAATAAAACTCTATAAGGATTCTTTGCCACCTTCACCATTGCTGTTTCCTGGCAAGGTGACAGTAGACCATGTAACTGACAGATTAGTAATAGCAGACACTGGACATCATAGAATTGTGGTCGTCTGGAAGAATGGACAAATTCAATACAGCATTGGAGGTAAAGTATGGATCTAATTATGATATATTGCATGTTGTACAGTAAAAAACAAAACACTAGCTCAAATAGAAATCACAAAACTTACATTTATAAATGGTGCATTTTAAAAGGGCAATAGTCATTGACTTTCAACTTTATCATGAAGTTATTTTGTAAGTTAATAATATAGTACTAGAATTAACCTCTTCTTACTCCCCAAAAAGGCCAAGAAAAATTCCCCCAAAAGCTCCATTCAGGTCAAAAAGGGAAAATCTTTTAAATTGAGAGCTTTAAAGTATATTTGCATAGATAGCCATCTTGGTTTTTGGACTTCTGGTGTGGCGATGTGTGTTAATGTGCTTAACTGCAGAGTTGGTTTGAACTGCAAGATCGGCAGTTCAGGCTCACCAGGCAGCTGCTCCTTGGGAACCCTGTACAGGGTCACTATGAGTCGGAACCGACTCCAGGGCACATAACAACACCTCCCAACAAATTCTTATTTTTCAAAAAGTTCTCACCATGATATCTAATGAAAACAACTCAAAACCAAACTCATTGTCACTGAGTCACTGCTGACTCATAGTAACCCTGGATAAGGTTCCTGAACTGTAAAAACAGAACAGCAGCAAAAAACGTCATCTGTCTCCCACAGAACACCTGGTGGGTTTGAACTCCTGACATTACAGTTAGCATTCCAGTGCTTAGTGCCACAATCTATATACTTTCTAGATTTCAGATGTTTTAAATGGAAGTATATTTCACTTTTCATGAAAATGTAGCCATGTCTTTTCAAAACCTTAGCATACCCTAGGAATTGGAGATTTATATTATGAAAGAAATAAGCTAGTATTTACACATACTTTGACTTTCCTTCCATAAGAACTTCAGTATACTCTAGATTCATCTTTTTTTGGGAATGAAAAATAATTATGTAAGTATAGATCATTTTGTTCCCGTCTCTGTACTCTCAGATCTAAAAAGGGTTCTTGTTTACATCTACATAATTAATAAGATTTATTAAGTACGCTGTTATTAATCCTGTGTGTCTAGGCAAAATTGGCATCTGGCACATTAGTCAAAGAGAAAAACAATTTATCTTTTGCACCCATGCTTTGGTAACACATGCTGTGTTAATGCATAGAGTACGGAGACCAGAATTCCAGAAATAAGTCAGTCGGATCCATAAGCCCTCTCATACTGTTCTGAGAATGCCAGGATGCTACTTCCTTAGCTTTTAAGTTTTTATGTCTCCTGTTCATAACAAAGGTTTGCTTTGTTGTTGCTGTTATAGTATGTGTGTTTGTTTTGTGTTGTTTATTTTGTTTTAGCTACTTGGTATGTTGATTTCTGACAGGCAGTTAAGATTGTTACTGAACATATGTTGTAGAAGCTTGAATTAAAATGGTTTGTAAAAGTTTTTAATAAATTCTATCATTTTCAGAATGGTGTAGGAGAATAGTCTCCCATGTTAAACAAATAGACCAATAGCAAGCTATATTTCTCAAACAGTTTCTAGAAATACCATTATCCTGTGATATATTAATAACTGTTCATGTAAAAGATGAATTTTTGGTCAAATACACTTGGGAACCATGGATTTGATGTGACTGGACAGCTGTTATGTTGTTAGGGTGTCACTGGGCTTGTCAACGTTGCTCAGCTCCTATGTGTGTTGGGAATATCCAAGAGGGCGGGGCATGTTGTCCTTCAGTGGTGTCGGGGCAGTTCCGACTCAGAGCAATCCTATATAGGATTTCCGAGGCTTTTAAATCTTTACAACAGCAGAAAACCTCATCTTTCTCTTGCGGAGTAGCTGGTGGACTTGAACCACCACCCTTGCGATTCGCAGTCCAGTACTTATCCTATGGAGCTACTGCGCTCAAGCGTGGGTATAATGCACACTATTTTCTAATTGGAAGTGACCACAGCACTCTCCCTTCCCCTCTCCCCATGGAATGCCCATCAATAGCTACACTGTATGTAATTATAATAGTAACAGTAATAATCATTGCAGTCACTCGCATGTGCCTGATACATATGTGGTACCCTTCCAAGCACTTATCTGTATCAACACAGTCAATTCTCACAGTGCTCTGAAGTAAGCACCACTTCAGTCCCATTTTACAGAAGAGGAAATTGAGACAAAGCGTCATTTGAGAAGCAGTAGAGCTAGGATTTGAACCAAGTCTGTTGGGCTGTAGAATTCATATTCCTAGCAAAGTTAAGCATTCAAACTGCTAACCTAAAAAAAAAGCTTGCTTGTTGAAACACTTCCAGCAGCTCCACAGGCAAAAGATTAGCGATCTGCTTCTGCAAAGGAGACAGCCAGGAAAATCCTATGGGGCAGTTCTACTCTTTAACAGAGGCCACTATACATTTAAATTGACTTGAGGGCACCTAAGAACAACAGCCACTACATGATTCTATCTCTTTTCCTAACATCAGGGACAGTTGTTTTTGTTGTTAAGTGCCGTGAGTCGGTTCCAACACATAGCGACCTTGTATAGGGTTTCCGAGAAGCTACTGGTGAGCTTGAACCACTGACCTTGCAGTTCAAACCGCCTTTGCAGTCCAGCGCATTAACCCACAGCACCACAGGGACAATAGGATTCTGCGAAGTATAGTTTGGGAGTGCTGGCTTAGAGACTTTAAGTGGGTTGTCTAAAAGTGACTCTGGCCAGAGCAGTAATAATTGCTTCTATTTGATTATCTACTGTATTTTACACAAATCACACATGCTCAGACCTTTGGCAGACCATGTAGCTCTCTTGTATGTTAGTTCCTTATGCATACTATGCACGTTATATATTTAAAATGTGGTACTGTCCACCCCTGAAACTCCACGTGTATTACAGAAACAGAGAAGTAGCTAATTAAATCAGAATCACTCTGTCTCGATCATTCGCTCTTAAATATGTGTGAGATGTTCTAGAACTTTGTGGCATAGTGAAGTGGTAGACGTGACGGATTCTTAATCTGGGGTCCTTGGACTCTCAAGAAATTTATGAATTCCCTTAGGGAATCTGTTACATACTGTCAAATCAGTTCCAACTCAGTAATTTTGGACGGGTTTCCAAGAAACAGCTGGTGGGTTTGAACCAGTGACCTTGCAGTTAGCAGTCCAGTGCTTTCCAGTGCTTTACTTTACAGTGCCACACCAGAACTCCCTAGGGGATCTTGGAGCTCTTTAAAATTATTTGCAGCATATATGTATTTTGGGGGGGAAAGGATTCATAACGTCTATTGTATTATCAAAAAAGGACATCTTCAAAAACTGTTAAAAAATATTTCCTCTAGATGCAGAAAGATATAAAAATGTTCAGTTCTTTCTGGTCTGGGTACTATTTAAATGCTTTAAAATCATTTTCTTATGGTCTATGGTACTATACTTAAGTACACTAGTAACTATTACACAGTTAAATGCTATGATTAGCAAAAGTCACATTTGAGAAAAACAGAAATGGCTTGGGAACCAATGGACTCCAACAACACTGACTGAGGATGGCGCAGGACTACACAGTGGTTCATTCTGTTGTACATCTAGTTATTTTGTGTTTATTCTTGTCATTACTTTTTTATAGGTAAAAATATTTGTCTTAATTTCCAGGACCTCACCCTGGAAGAAAAGATGGAACATTTTCAGAGTCAACGTTTAATTCACCACAAGGTGTAGCCATACTGAATAATATCATATATGTGGCAGATACTGAAAACCACCTGATAAGAAAGGTAATTTCCCATTTGAAATAAAAAGTTATAGTACTTCTAGTCAGAAAAACTGATGGTTATTTGCCACCTTACACATTTCCAGTAACAGTTCATAGGCTCTCAAAGCACCCTATTCAGTTTTTTCAGAGGCACCTGCTTTAGTTTTATTCATAACAATCTTGTTTCCCTTGTTTCACAGTCATTTGCTTTATCATCCCAAACCCCTCAGTAAGAAGCCTCATGCTCAATTAGGTTCATCTCATTCCGACCTACTCCCAGACCTAAGCAACCCCTCATTTACATTATATACATTTTCCATCCTCTTCTGTTATTTTAGATAAATTTGAGAAGGTTTGGTGTTACTTCTTCAAGTGTTTGATAGAATTCACAAGGGAAGCCATCTGGTCTTAAGCTTTGCTTTGTTGGAAGTTTTTTGATTACTGTCTACATCTCTACTAGTTAGAGATCTGTTCAGATTTTTTGTATCAATTTTAGTAGTGTGTGTGTTTCTAGGAATTGATCCATTTCATCTGGGTTATCTAATTTTAGTTGTTCATCATATTGTCTTAAATGCTTTTTATAAGGTCAGTAGTAACATTGTGTCTTTTATGTCTGATTTTAATAATTTTAGTCTTCTCTCTTTTTTATTGGCCTGCCTAGCTAAGCTTTACCAAGTTTGTTGATCTTTGTAAAGAACCAACTTCGGTTTCATTGATTCTTTGTTGTTTTTCTTGTCTGGATTTCCTTAATCTCCACTTTAATTTTTATTACTGTCTTCTTTCTACTTGCTTTGGGCTTAGTTGACACTTCATTTTCTAGTTCTGAATGGTCACAGGTTAGGTTGTTGATTTAAGATCTCTTTTATTTTTTAAGTAAGCATTTACAGCTTTAAACTTTGCTTTAAGCGCTACTTTTACTGTATCCCATGATTTTTGATATGTTGTGTTTTCATTTTCATTCATTTCAAAGTATTTTCTAATTTTCCTGTGATTTCTTTGCCCCAATGGTTGTTTAAAAGTGTTGTATTTCATTGCTTCATATTTGTGCAGTTTCCAGTTTTCTTTCTATTATGGATTTCTAATTTCATTCCATTGTGATTGGAGAAGATACTTTGTATGGTTTTATGTTTTTTAAATTCATTAAGATTTCTTTTGTGCACTGTCCTGGAGACTGCGTGCTCTGTGTCTGTTAGGGTAGTTGGTATATCAAAAAACAAAAAACATCCCAATACATTGCTTCTGAGTCCATTATGGTGCATGGTGTATGTCAGTGTTCTGCTTCCTTGTTTATCTTTTTCTGGCATTCTCTCCGTTATTGAAAGTGGGAGGTTGAAATGTCCAGCCATTATGGTTGATTTATCTGTTTTTGCTTTATATATATTGCTGCTGTTGTAAAGTGCTGTCAAGTCAGTTCCGACCCACAGCGATCCTGTATAAGGTTTCTAAGGAGCAGCTGGTGAGCCTGAAGCCACCGGCCTTGCAGTCCAAACCAACTTTCCAGTCAAGCATATTAACCCACAGTGCCACACCAGGATTCCTTTTGTGTATGAGGGGATGTCAAAAAGTACATGGAAAATGGAATTAAATGATAATAGATTTTGTCCATGAACTTTCAAAGCCCCTTGTATTTTGAGACTCTATTGTTAGGTATGTTTTTATACTTGTACCTTCTGGATGTCTTAACCCTTTATCATTATGCAATATCTGTCTCATCTCAAGGATATTTGGCTGGTATTAGCACAGCCACTCCAGCTTTACTTTGATTACTGTTTGTGTGGAGTATATTTCTCCATCCTCTTACATTCATGATGTCTGTCTTTGGATCTAAAGTAAGACTTCTGTAGATAGTATATAGAGGGAACATGTTTTCAGGGTTTCTTTTATTTCGTTGTCATTGTTTCTTACAGGACTTTGAGAATATTTTAAATAGGTAATTTGAAGTCTTTGTCTATTTAATTCAAAGTTTGGGCTTCCTCAGAGACCATTTCTGTTGAGTTTTCTCCCTACCCCTGACCCTGTGAATGAACCATACTTTGTTTCTTTGCATGCCTCATCATTATTTTTTTCTTTCTTTCAAAACCTCAGTTTTGAATATGATGATCTTTCAACTTTGGAAATCAGATTTCCCCTCTCCTCCTACCCAGGGTTTGTTTTTCCTGCTTTTTATACTTATTGGTGCATAATTAAAATTGAAACTTATATATTTTCATGAAGTACGCATATTGCTAGTTAATATTTTAAAATGTTAAATTTCACTTTCTCTTAAAAGATTTGATAGCTAATATTAGATCAGCTTTAGTGCTGGTGGAAGAAAGAGAAACGGACAGGTAGGGCTGAGAGGAACTGAGTTGTGTGAATTTAAGTAACAAGAAGTCTACCCCATAGTTGATGAATCTTTAAAAAAACAAAAACGCTGTGTTGGAAAGACATTGTATGTGTTCTCCTGCAAAGATTCACACATGTGCCAAAGCAAAGAGCAGAAGGAACATGCATTACGTAAAACGTTCGTTCCATTTCTATAGATTGATCTAGAAACCAAGGCCGTAAGCACTGTAGCTGGCATTGGAATTCAAGGCACAGATAAAGAAGGTGGAGCCAGAGGAGACCAGCAACCCATTAGTTCTCCTTGGGATGTCGTTTTTGGAACATCAGGTATGTAAACTTTTGATATTAAATATAAACAAACTTTGCTTAATAAAAGTGAGATTTAAGAAATATGTTGGGGATATTTATTTGCATTGATTCTACTGCTAGTTATTTCATACTTTTATACCTATGGGTTGGGATTCATTAATTTTGTTAAAACAAATTAAAGGCAACAATAATATGTACATACGTACATCAGAGAGTATATATCATATTATATGAAGGGGCTTCAAAAAGTTCATGGGAAAATTCCATTATTTATTTATTTATTTATTTATTTTAAGTTTTTTATTGTGGATTGAGTGAAAGTTTACAGGGCACATCATCAGTTTCACATTCAGCATTCATATGACTTGTTTCATTACATTGATTACAATCCCTTCCATACATCATCAGTCAACAGTGTTTCTATCTATCCTCTTTGGCTTTTCTCCTTTTTTTGGGTGGGGGGGGAACTTTGCCTTTTTGGAATTTACAGTCTTGGCTTTTAAGGAAGGTTTTTACATTTATCTGTGGATATCCAGGCTCATGTATGCGATTACTAACAAGCATAACTGAATAATCAGATGAGGGACAGTTTGCTATGTCTGCTAGGTGGCTAAAGTCTGATCCTCAGAGCCTATGGTTTGGACGGTCTGCAACGCTTGGGCCCACAGGGCCTTGAACTCCTGGCCGGGTCTGCATGGTCTACCTCCGTTTCCCCCTTATTTATTATTTGTTTAGGGGACACTGCCTGTCTTAGGCGGTCAGTGCGAATTCCTCCGTCTTACCTGTCATCGAAACTGATTGCAGCATGGCAATGGCTCTGTTTTAGGTTGCCGAGGTTCCATGTGATCCTTATCCATTATCTTTTAAGTCCAGTTTCCCATGTATTCTATTTGAAATTCCCTTGTATAACATTACATTATTATATTTTATATAAAACCCACCCACTGCCATCAAGTCAATTCTGACTAATAGCAACCCTCTGTAAAGTTTCTGAGACTCATCTCTCTCCCTCAGAGTGTCTGGTGGATTTGAACTACTGACCTTGCAGATAGCAGCACGACACATAGCGCCCAGCTGCAGCTTCTAGTTAATGTAGTTCTGAACATCCTTACTTGGAAAGCATTATAGTTCCAGAACTTCAGAAGTTGTTCATGAACCATACCATACAACAGAGTCCTTGTTTACTCTCATTTGAAAAAAAAAAAAAAAAAAAGTGACAGCCACTTTTCGTTTTAGATTTTTAAAATTTGCATTAAAATGATAGTTGCTTTTCAGCAATTAAAAAAACAAAAAGCATAATGTCCTACCAAATTAATGTAGCTATTGATGAACAAGACTAATCTTTATGATCTTTACTACCTTTATTAATTGACTAAAAGATAATCCAGGAGCATTTGTTAGCTCAGTTTTCACTGGCCCTCAGCAATACTGAGCTAGTTATCTATGGACCTATAACTAGATTAATGCATCAAGAAAGTTACATTGAAAATGGGATTTGAGACCAGCTGCTCCTTGGAACCCTATACAGGGTTGCTGTGGGTTGGGACCGACTCGATGGCACGTTACAACAAGAAGAACAACTATATTTAAAGAGTGAATAAATATCAGCTTAGTTGTATGGCTTTATGTTTGAGATGATTTGTCTGTTTTGATGCCAATTTGTCTATAATTCAAAAGTCTTTTTTCATCCTAATCAACTTTTATCTCAAGTCTTTAATACTCATAAAATAGATAATTAAAAAAATAATAATGGATTTTGAGAACCACCTGAACTTTATCTATTTAGCTCAGGTATTTTGAGTAAGTTATTTGTTGAGAATTGCATAAATGGAATTCTGTGTTCTAAACAACACTTGAGTTATTTCAGTTGCTCACTAAAGGGCGAGCTTGGTGACCAGGTGACCAGGAAATAAGTCTAAACAGCCTATTACAGATTTTAAGACAGCAATAAAGCCAATTGAAACTTGCTCCGCTTTTTATTACCATGAAGCTGTTCTAAGCAGTTTCAGAGGTAAAAGTATTTGTCCCCACCAGGACGATATCTTTGATATCCCAGGCGAGTAAAGTTTTACTAAAGCTAATACAGAAACGACTACAAGCATACATTGACAGAGAACTTCCAGAGGTTCAAGCCGGATTCAGAAGAGGCCAATGGAAAGACGGATTTCATTGCTGATGTCCGATGGATCTTGGTTGAAAGCAGAGAATAGCAGAAAGATGTTTACCTGTGCTTTATTGACTATGCAAAGGCTTTCGATTCTGTGGATCTTGACATGCTATGGACAACATTGCAAAGTATGAGTATTCCGGAACACTTAATTGTGTTCATGAGGAAGCTGTACATGGACTAAGAGACAGTTGTTCGAACAGAGCATGGGAACACTGAATGATTTAAAGTTAAAAAAGGTGTGCGACAAGGTTGTATTCTTTCACCATGCTTATTCAACCTGTATGCTGAGGAAATAATCCAAGAAGCTGGGTTCTATGAAGAAAAACGTGTCATCAGGATTGGAGGAGACTCATTAACAACCTGTACAGGGTTGCTATGAGTGGGAACCAACTCCACAGCACACTACCACCACCACTTTCGTTCAACAGATCATTAAAAGCATCTGGCTCTGCAGCTATCTTGCAATCCGAAATATCTTCATTCCATAGATTTGGCAGGAATAGTAATCTTGACTGCACTTAAGCCCAATGCCTTTCAGAATGCTAGCTAAAAGAAAATGAGTTTCAAGTACTATGTGAAGGAGCTGCAATCACAATGACTATTCTAATCCAAGAGTAGCATGCCAGAGATATTCAGGGTTAGGCTTCATGAGGTGCTTAAACCTTCCAGAAATTCTCTCTCAGATTGGGGAAATGTTTCATAGCTTTCATCAGATTTTCAAAGTGGTTTTTTAGTCCCTAAAATTTTTTAAGAACTACCACTTTAGATTACAAGGAGCTCTTGTAGCATAGTGGTTACAAGTCAGGCTGCTGATCTCATAGTCAGCATTTTGAAACTACCAGCAGTTCCAAGGGAGAAAGATGAGACTTTCTGCTCCCATAAAGATATATGGCCTTAGAATCCCTATGCAGGGTCACTATGTGTCAGATCCGACTCCACGGCACATAACCACTACCACCTCCACTTCAGATTACACTAAAATCAAATCCTGTCTGTGTGTATATACAAGGGGGCTCCAGAAAGCTCATGGAACAGTGGAATTAAGATAATCCCATTTTTCCATAAATGTTTTGAAGCCCCCTCATACTGTAAATGTTATTATTGTTAGATGCCGTCAAGTCAGTTCCAACTCATTGTAACCCTGTTGTATTGGGTTTCTGAGGTTGTAAATCTTGATTAGGAGCAGAAAGTCTCATCTTCTCCCGAAGAGTGTATACTGGATTTGAACTGCCAACCGTCTGGTTTGCAGTCCAGGACTTATCCTGTACCACCAACAGGGTTCCTCATATTTCAAATTGTGTCTGAATATTTATCCTCATTTTGCCATTTTAGGCTAAAGATGCAAAAATAATTCCTAAGGTGAATTTTAGGATACATGGTATGGTGCTGTAGGATAAGCACTAAACCACAAGGTCAGTTTGAACTGCAAGGTTGATGTTTCAAGATCACCAGCCACACCTTGGAAACGCTATACAGGATATCCTTCCTCACTATGGATCAGAAACAACTCGACAGCACTTAACAACAACAAAGTGATTTTTACAAAAGTGATTTTTTTTTCTCATTCTTCTTTTTGATCATTACTCTTAACTGTAATCAGAACTTCATAATGCACTGAAAATAATTACTGTTGTTGTAAAGTGCCATTGAGTCAGTTCTAACGCATAGTGACCCTGTATAAGATTTCCAGGGAGCAGCTAGTGAGCTTGAACCACTGCCCTTGTGGTTCAAATCAACTTTGCAGTCCAGCACATTAGCCCACGGTGTCAGACCAGGACTACAAAAATAATTACTATTGCTATAAATTCTTTCTTTCTTTCTTTCTTTTCCCAGCCAAAACTGCCATATTGCCAAAATAGGCATCAGGTCTGTACTGTTTCTGCTAATGTACCAAACAGTAACCCAAGAGATTTTTAGTTATTTATTTATGTTTTTTAAATCTTACAGGTCAGAGCGCAGCCAGGCTCCCAAATCCTTTAGACTTTGAAATCTAGCTATTTAGTATGCTAGGCTGATAATCTATAGTGGTGCTTAGATAGTAGCTTTCTCTCACTTCTATTTCGATGCTATAAAATACCATTAGAATGTTGTTGTTGTTGTTACATGCCATCGAGTCAGTACCAACTCATAGTGCTCTTATGCACAGCAGAACGAAACACTGCCCGATCCTGGGCCACCCTCACTACTGTTGCCACGCTTGAGTCTATTGATGCTGCCGCTTGGCTGATCCATCTTGTTGGGGATCTTCCTCTTCTTCTCTGACCTTCCACCTTACCAAACATGATATCCTTCTCCAGCAACTTGTCCCTCCTGACAATATGTCCGAAGTATGAGAGATGAAGTGTGACCATCCTGGGCTCCAAGGAGCACTCTGACTGCACATCTTCCAAAACGGATCTGTTGGTTCTTTTGGCAGCCTATAGCACTTTTCAGTGTTCTCCTCCAACACCATAACTCAAAAGCATCAATTCTCCTATGGTCTTCCTTATTCACTGTCCAGCTTTCACATGCATATGAGGTTATTGAAAATACCATGGCTTGGATCAGGCGCTCCTTAGTCCTCAAGCTGACATCTTTGCTCTTCAAAACTTTAAAAAGTTCATGTGCAGCAGATTTGGCTAATGCTATATGTTGTTTGATTTATTGACTGCTGCTTCTGTGAGTGTTGATGTTTGATCCAAGAAGAATGAAGTCCTTGACAACTTCAGACTTTTCTCCTTTGATAAGAATGTTGTTTATTGGTCCATTGGTAAGGATTTTTGTTTTCTTTACATTGAGATGTAATCCATACCGAAGGCAAAACCATTAGAATAGTTCTCCTTTAAAAAGAATCCTATGATTCAGACAGTTGTGTAGGAATAAAATTTATGTGGTATCATTTGTGTGTTTTTATTTTGTTGAAATGCAAAGAATTGCAGTATTTTTTGCCTAAATGTGTGAGGAAGTTCTTCTGCTTTCATTGAGCTGGTGTTGATAAGATTTCAGTCAGATGAAAACCAGTTGCCCTGGAATGAGTTCCTACTCGTGGTGACCTACAGAGTACAGCTGTGCTCCAGAGGTTGTCAGTGGTTGATTGTGAAAAGTTAGTATCAGGCTTACTTCCTAAGTACCTCTGGGTAGAATCGAACTTCTAACCCTCACTTAATAGCATATTACCATTTACACCACCCAGGGATTCCCCACAAGCTAGGGTCTCCAGATGATTCAAGAATGAGTCCTAGTTGATCTGACTGTTGTGAAGTGCCATTGAGTGGTTCTGACTCTTAGCGACCCAGTATAGGGTTCCCAATGAGCGCCTGGTGACTTTGAACTTCTAACCTTACAATTCAAACGTCCTTGTAGTCAGTGCTTATCCTACAGCGTCACATCAAGACTACACCAATTTAAAAAAAAAAAGGTTCAGGTTTCATGGATCAAAGTCCAGTAACACATTTTGTTGTTGTTGTTAATGCATGTTTCTGATGAGATCACTTGCATTTTTAAAAGCCCCCACAGCTCCTACTGTCTTGGAGAATAACAGCCAAACATCTTAGGCTGGCATCTAAAGGACTTCCGTCAGATGGCTCAGTAAGGAGGAGAGGAGCCTCATTGAGGTGGGCTCACACACTAGTCACAGCAGTGGACTCAAAGATAGCAGTGATCACGAAGCTGGCACAGGGCTAGGTAACATTTCACTCTGCTGAACGTCAGGTCATCGTGCGTCAGAGCCAACTCAACTCACCTGACAACAAGATGGGGAGGAAGGGCAGAAGGGGTGAGCTGGGCCACCTGTCCCTGAGCAGGAAGCTCTGATGACTTTGATTAGATCCCTGTTTCTGATCTCACATGAAAATAGACTCGAGTCTTTGATGCCCAGGCGAAGTTCCTAGAGCCGGCCGAGGCAGAAGGGAGGGAGAAGAGAGGGGCCAAGAGAGAGCTGGGCAGAAGAGTATAAGCTCACTTCTCTAGCTCTTTCAGTCCAGTTAGAATACTGGTATCTAGAGCCTAGTTCATGAATGGATTCACAGTTCAGATCTGGCACTTACTTACTAGTTGTGTGAATATTAACAAGCTTTTCACTAACCTCATTGAATTTGTTTCTTTATCTATAAAATGGAGATGACTATAATAAAACTTCGTAATAAATTACGGAGAATAATCCATATGAAATGCTTAGCTCAGTCCCTTATGCATTGAAAGTGCCCTGTGTGGTTGTCAGTACTATCCTTCATTGTCATCATCCCCACACAGAATCCCAAACACCAAAGTCCTGGCCTGCTACAGCCTCTGCTTTTGTAGTTTTCTGTGTTACTCGAAGCTTCTAAAGAAATTAGTAACCAGGGGAGACTAAAATAATGCTCATACTTTATTAATTTACACCTTTGCCTGGAAAAGTTTACACATAAAATTATAAGTCTTTCACAAGGAAAATGGACAATTTCAAAACAAAGCATTGCTGATATTTTTATTTTCCCTTATTAGATGATTTATAAACAAAACGCTGCCTTCCCTGAATTTAAATTTCTGGAACAGTTTGCCTATTTATATTTACCAGATATGTATCTAATAACTGTTGTTTGTTTTAATAAAGCTTCAGAGGTTCAAAGAAATGACATTCTGTGGATCGCCATGGCAGGGACTCATCAGATATGGGCACTCCTATTGGACTGTGGCACACTACCAAAGAAAAAGTAAGTGGCAACATCTGTATTTGGAGTTCACCGGATTCCCATTCTCAGAGTCACCCTCCCAGCAGCGCCCACTGTACTAGTGAGGATATGCTAGGCTAGTGTGCTTTTGCATATAACGCACCCACAGAAGCCATGTGCCATTGTATATAGTGTGCATAGGAAACTAACAGGTGAGCAAAAGTCAGGTAGCACACGTGGTATACTGCCATCACAAACAGGCCAAGTTCTCAGTGGCTTAAAGAACAAGGTTTATTCGTAGCTTACTCACATGGTTTTGCTGGAGAACATGACTCTGCCCCCAGGCTGATGACGCAGCCACCATCTGGAACTTTGTCCGTCATCCTCCCAGAGAGAAGCTGGCTTTTCACCATCTCCGCAGAAGTAACATGCATCACTTCTTACATTTCATCAGCCAAAGCCACACCTAACTCCCAGGGGAAGAGCAAGCCTACTGAGAGCATCCAGAAAGAGCTAGAAATACATGGTGGATGCTTATCTTTTAAAGATACAGCTCAGATCGCCCCGATCATGAATTCAAATATTTGAATATGAACTAGCAGAGGGGTTGAAAGTTTCATGGTTAAGCCCGAGATTGAATCTTGACTCTGCCCCTCATGATCTGTGTGAGTTGAGGACGTCTCTTTAACTCCTTAGGCCTCAGACGGTGAATAGCCCAGAATAGTGGCTGACATAGGCAGTATGTTCAAATAGCTTTGCTGCGATTGCTGCAGATGTAAAAATGAAATGATAGTATCTGCATAGTTTCTTACATCTTTCCCCAAAAGCCTTTCCTCTTCTCCCTACCCCCCAGGTAAATCTGCCCATACTCGTCTCTGTGACCTCACTACACCCGGTACGTTGCTACATTGCTGCACTGATAAATTGTCTCCCTTTTCTGTCTCTCTTCTTGCTTGTACTTGCTTTATTACATAATTGTTTTTTCCCGACTAGACTGCCTTTTTTAGGAAGAGACCTTGTCTTGATCCATGTTTGTGTCCCTGTTCTTAGCACAGTATCTGATACCTAATGGAGCTCAGTAAGGGTTTGCTGAATAAATAAATAAGTGCTGGTCATCTTAGATCCTGCCGTTGGTAGAAGGGAGCAGTTGTCTAGACGGCCCAGATAACTGATCATCCAGATTGTGTGTGTGAGATGCTTTGGAACATTTAAACGATGTTTTACAATATTTAGTCATTCATATAACAAGTATTTATTAAGCATATTCCAGGCAGTATGCTTCTGCTTATGTTAAAAATAAATGAAAAGATGTGGTTACGATTCTCAAGAATCAGATCACCAAACAGTTAAAACAAAAAATGTAAATGTGTGTGTGTATATATGGGGGCTACTGTGAGCAAGAGGAAGCACTGCAGTCGTCCTTTCCCTGGAAATTGTTGTGTATAAAAAACCAGAGGACACCTGGTATCAATAAGATTAGAGGTTCAAGGCAGCTTCCTGGAAGATGTTACTGAACTGAGACTTGATAGAAGATTAGGAGTTAGAAAGGGAGAGGGGGTGATCCGGGTAAGAGATGGCACTGCTCAGTAGAAGCCAGGTCACATAAGACCTTGTGAATCCTCTTCAGAGGTTTGGATATTATTTCTGCAAGTCTTTATAGAAAGATTTAAAGCAAGGCAGTGATATTACTAGATTGTGTTTTGGAAAGAAAGCCGGCAGTAGCCAGAGTGGGACCAGACAAGAGACAGAGATAGCAGTCAAGAGACTCTTGCTGCTATTCAAGCAAGACATGCTAGGAGCCCACATGGAGATTGCCAGTAACATTGTACATGTGACATTATCGTAAACAGCACAACGGAAGGATGGAGTGGTCAGAATGTGCTCTCCTCTGTGCTGCCTGTGTTGGACATACATGGTCAACAACGGCCTAAATTTCCAAATCAGTGAAGGTGTCCCCCTCATTCATAGTAGGGATCTAGTCAGTCAGACCACGTTGACCTCCATCCTAATCTTAGGATGCTTTTTCTTTTTTAAAAAAGGTGTGGTTTTGTTTTTTTGTTGTTTTTTCCTGACTGATCTTCAGGTGGTAATGACTCCTAATGTTTAGCATTTACTGTTTCTCCTCATTCTCTCTAAGGAGCTCTGGTAGTGTAGTGTTTATGAGCCAGGCTGCTAGTATCATGGTTTGCAGTTTGAAACTACCAGCGGTTCCACAGGAGATGGGGCTTTCTGCTCCCATAAAGATTTACAGCCTCGGAAACCCAATGTAGGGTGGCTATCAGTTAGAACCGACTCCACGAAACACCACTACCTCATTCTCTCTATTCTTAGTTAATGAAGGGAATTTTTTTTTTTTTTAACTGTTAGAAGTCCTCATTCGTTTATTTGCTTTATGGATTAGTTATTATACATATTTTTCTGTCTGGTTTAATTTATAATTTATGTGAGTAAGTGACCGTATTTTATGCATTCTCTATCTCTTTGTCTCTATCCTCCATCCCCAACCTAACTTAGCATGAGGAATATGTCAACCAGTAAGCCATTGGTGGTCGTTTTATACTTGCATGCTGTACCCTAGCCTCATCCCTCAACACCAGACAATGCTGTGTCTTCCTTACAAGCCCTGTAGCACAAACTACTTTTTAAAAGAAACCAAATTGTCAAAGTTTCTCTGACGACAAAAATAATTATTGGAATGATCCTTTAAACAGAAAACCCTCTAGTGTATGTATATAAGAAATTGATATGAACCGCAAGGACAGCAGTTCAAACACACCAAGCATTCCTTCGAAGCCCTGTTTGGAGTCACTGTGAGTTGGAACTGACCCTTAGGCACTTACCAACATCATTTAGTTAGAACAGCATAATCTTGAATAAGTTTCCTAAAATGGGCAATGCCTGTGACTTGACTTTTTCAAAATGAATCATTAAATCCCTTTTGCTAGTGTTAGTGTAGATTAAAACAAACAAAAAATGTTAATGAAAATTTAAACTTTAAACTATCAAGAACAAGATAAGCTTTTTAATTCTCTCTTAGAACTTAATATTGCATGAAACTAAGAAAAGATGGGATGAAACTGTATTTATGTCTGGCCATTTGGAGAGGGGAAAAAAACGATCCCAGCAATGATCTGGACATTCTTATAATTCTGAACCTGACAGAGTTTTCCCGTCTGGCCTTTGAGAATGGTTTCTGCTTTGTGTGTACCAAAGGAAATCCGAAGGGTGCCCCCAGTGGATAAATAAGTTAAAGATTGAAATAAACGCTAAGGTACTCATTTTAACTAGACCGAGAGCTCTATATTTTTCTAACAATATTTATAATCATTGATTTGATCGTTCACATATATTTCTACCAATGTTGACTCTACTACATATGAATCTGTCTTTTTGTAGAGAGCTGAAAAAAGGGACCTGCCTTCGCTTTGCTGGGAGTGGGAATGAAGAGAATCGAAACAATGCGTATCCTCACAAGGCAGGTTTTGCCCAACCGTCAGGGCTCTCTGTGGCTTCGGAAGAGCCCTGGAGCTGCCTGTTTGTAGCCGATAGTGAGAGCAGTACTGTGAGAACCGTATCGCTGAGAGATGGAGCAGTGAGGCACCTCGTAGGAGGAGAAAGAGACCCCACGGTAATGAAAACGCTCTCAGAGAGCCCAGACACGTAACCAAGCACGCACACAGTCCCCTGAAATGTGGAGAATTGACAGAAATGTAGGAGAGGTTGTTCCTGGTCTCATAAATTAAAATGGAAAAAGAAATGTCAGACTATAAAGAAATCAGACCAAAAGGAAGTCAGACTATGAAGAAACAGTAATAGAAGCCACCTAAGGAGTCCTGGTGTGGCGCTGTGGGTTAATGCGCCAGACTGCAAAGCCATTTGAACTGCAAGGTCGGCAGTTCAAGGTCACCAGTTGCCCCTTGGAAACCCTGTATAGGGTCGCTATGGATCGGAACCGACTCAACGGCACTTAACAAGAAAAATAAACTGATTCTTCTTGGCTATGTATAAGTGATAATGCTTCAGGGAGATAAAATTATTGAAGCTCACATATTAAGTACTAGTGTGGTGCTGTAGGATAAGCCCTGGCTAGCTAACTGCAACGTCAGCAGTTCAAACCCAGCAGCCACTCTTTGGAAACCCTACACAGGGTTGCTGTTGAGTCAGAGCTGACTTTATGGCACTTAACAACAGCAACATTAATTACTAACTGGAGAGAAAAGAAAAACGTAACTCAGGTGGTTGTCAGTGGGCTGAGAAAAGCCGCAGTCTAGCAGAGGCAGCCTGCTCCCGACCAGATGTGTAACTGTTGTGACTGAAACTAGTAAGCACCACCACTTAGTTCAGACTCAGAATGCCGTCATTGTTCCAGTCTGGAATCAAGTCCCACTGGTATGGAAATCAGACCTTTCTCCCTTAACTGAAATAGCATATGCAACAATCAAAATGTTCACTTTATATACAACAAAGCACTGTAAACATTTTAATAAATGCTATTTCTTTCTTTTTTTAAAAAAAGAATTTATTTGCTTTTGGTGATGTTGATGGAGTGGGAATTAATGGAAAGCTTCAGCATCCACTTGGAGTTACTTGGGACAAGAAAAGGAGTTTACTCTATGTGGCAGACTCCTACAATCACAAGGTGAGTTTTGACAGGGTTAAGCAGCTGGTTTTCCTGCGTGGGATTTGAAATGCTGCCAGATGTGTGAGACCTCCTCCTAGTGTCATTCCAGAGCGCAGGGAGGGTCAACAGTCTGCAGCTGCTTCTATTCTCTTCTTGGTCTTGTCTTGGTAAAGAAGTGATGGAACTCAGAACCGATAAATCACCCAACCAGTGCCCAGTGGCTGTGGGCCAAGATTGTGAAGTTCAGCCCTTCAGAGCTGGATGTTGTTCAGCAAATAAGAAGGCTGAAAGCAGGGAAATGAATTTGTTAGCGTAACAGTGAACCGTTTTCCCCTGTCGCATAGTTGCATTTGTTGTTGTTGTTAGGTGCCATCGAGTCGGTACTGACTCATAGTGACCTTATGCACAACAGAACAAAACACTGCCCGATCCAACCTCACTACTGTTGCCACATTGAGTCCATCAATGCTGCCACTTGGCCAGTCTATCTCATTAGGGGTCTTCCACTTTTTCTCTGACCCTCCACCTTACCAAACATGATATCCTTCTCCAGTGACTGGTCCCTCCTGACTATATGTCCTAAGTATGAGAGACGAAGTTTGGCCATCCTGGTCTCCAAGGAGCACTCTGGCTGCACTTCTTCCAACACGGATCTATTGGTTCTTTTGGCAGCCCATGGCACTTGCAATATTCTCCAACCCCATAACTCAAAAGCATCAATTTTTTTACAATCTTCCTTATTCACTGTTCAGCTTTCGCATCCATATGAGGTTATTGAAAATACCATGGCTTGGGTCAAGCGCATTTTAGTCCTCAAGCTGACATTTTTGCTCTTCAACACTTTAAAAACGTCTTGTGCAGCAGATTTACCTAATGGAACTTGATTTCTTGACTGCTGCTTTCGTGAGTGTTGATAGTTGATCCAAGAAGAATGAAGTCCTTGACAACTTCAATCTTTTCTCCATTGATAAGGTAGTTAGTTGCATTACCTGTTAGCAAATAAGTCCATTTTCAGCAGCATTTCCATGTTTGTCTCTACTATACTGTCTGTTCTGTTGTTTCAGTTTTCAGTGCATTTTTCTTTTTTATAGACATCAGTGGGAAATGAATGCTAACATTCTGTCATAGGGAACTGTAAGAGTAATGTAATTAAGGTGCAACAGGAAATCTTTAACTACAGCAAAAATAGCCAATCTTCGGTCAATGTTACATGCTCATATGAGTTCAGTTATGAAGGCATGTCTCTGTGAAGAAAAGCAAGTGCAAAGAAGTAATTCCATCTAAGATTGCTTCTAGAACATAAAATATAACAAGCAATTTTACAGTGCTTTTACTGCTTGGGATGGAATGTCTCTCCTTTGATGGTAATTTGAATGTTTGGCTTTTTCAAGAAGTTATAGAAATTTCTTGGACTTACTAGGAGTAGTGATGGTAATCAGAAGTTCCCTAACTTGCTTCGTAGTGTACTACTCTGCCATACCACAAACATGAGATTGACCAGATTCATACTCTTTTCTCTCTTCTATAGATTAAAGTTGTGGACCCAAAAACAAAAAACTGTTTAACATTAGCAGGAACAGGAGATGCAAGTAATGTCATCAGTTCCAATTTTACAGAGTCAACTTTTAATGAACCAGGAGGCTTATGCATTGGAGAGAATGGTCGGTTATTATATGTAGCAGACACAAATAATCATCAAATTAAAGTTATGGATTTAGAAACAAAAACAATCTCTGTGGTGAGTAATCTTGGAGTATAATTTAAAGGGTATCGTTTTTAGAATGACTCAAGGTTCTCATAACGCTGACAGGTGGTTTTGATGAGACCATCACCAATGGAGCAGGGGATACATGGAGTAAGAGAAATCATTTCCAACTCAGAGCAACCCTCAGAGGGTTTCTGAGGCTAAATCTTTATGGGAGCAGAAAGCTTCATCTTTCTCCCTCGGAGCAACTGGTAGATTCAAACTGCTGAACTTAAATTAGCAGCCCAGCTTGTAACCCACTATACTATCAGAGTGGTAAGTAAGTCCTACAATGTGTAATTCGCTCATTTAACCAATAAGGAATCCTTTCAGGATGTTATGTTATACTTCATTGTTTCATCTGTGCTGAGAGTTTGAAAAACTTCAAAAAAAGCCCAGAGGGGTGGATACACAACACACACTACTCCCACATACGCTGTGGGTTGGGTTCTTATTTTTTAATATTCCTTACATTAATGTGTGATCATTATTTTCCACACTGAATCTATTAACAGATAATCTGCTTCATGAAGTTCCAGAAACCACATTTTTCAAGACATTTATAATTAGACCAGAAGAAACTAAGTTCTAACCAATGTTTAAAGATATGGGCATGGTCTATAGCATTTTAAGGGACACATGTCCATTGCCAAGTATCTCAGCAATAATTTTTTTTTCTAAAATTGTAGGAATTTCTAAGGTATATATTTTTAAATAAAAACACAGATAACCATTACAGGTGTCATTTTTCTTGATTGACATAATTTCTGGTATATTATGTACAATATCTTTGGCAATGAAAATTCTGAGAATGTGTATTAGATTCACTGCCTTTAAATTGATAATGTGCTTGAGTTTTTGCCACCTCTAAATCAGACAATTAAGTTAATTCTCCCTCATTTGTGTTGGTAATATTTTGCCAGCTGAAATTATTTCTGTTCGTACAAAATAACCTTGAGGACATCTAACTGAACCTGCATTCTAGTTCAGACTAGAGTGGTAGTTGTTTCTTTGACATAGAACTTTATTTTCTACTAAAGTCTTAAAAATAAGCACTCTCACTCTGCAGTTACTGTGAAGTATTTGTGATTTAATGACTGGTTTTCTTGTTTTGTAGCTCCCTGTCATCAGCTCTGAGAATGCTGTGGTAGATGGCCCGTTCCCACTAGACAAACAGAAGACATTACCCAAACTGCCTAAATCCGCTCCAAACATTAGTCTCTCCCCAGTGACTGCATCTCCAGGCCAGACTCTTCAGTTCAAGCTAAAATTAGACCTCCCATCAGGAACAAAGCTAACTGAAGGAGCACCCAGTTGTTGGTCTCTAACAGCTGAAGGTATGACTATTAAAACCTTGCAACTATTATATCCCATACGTTCTTTTTGTTTATTGTAGTAATCTTTCTCATTTGTTGTTTTCACTCTGTAGTTGGGCAGGATTGGAGAAAGATGATAGGAAAATGAATCCAGATCAATCCCCACTTTGGTAGCTTTTTCTATCTAGTCTGTAAGATTCTCCCTTCCTTTTAAACTGCTCACCCCAAGTTACGTGTCAGTTGTTAGCACTGTTTCTTGGGATATAGACTTCGCTGTACCGCTTCTTTTATTCTAACCTAGTTCCCAGTATCTTGTTCCCAGATAAAAACACTTATAGTTGAAAAGCCTGACATGGAAAAATAAAATGACGCCTCCTTATTTAATATCTTTTACCTTTTTGCATTCCTCTCTTTCCCTCTTTCAGGCCCTTCATTTGCTACGTGTTTTCACAGTCTGTTTTCTTAGAAATTAGCATTTTAAAATAAAAGCCTTAAATGCCAAATGAAAGTTTCAGCATCAGCCCACTGGTTTGGGAGAGTAAAGGAGTATCAAGGCTTGCAGATACTCCTGAAATAACCTTTTGGGAATAAAGGCATTTCCCAGGTTATAAACAAGAGCTCCTAATTAATTGTGTCTTTAAGAATTGGTAGGTAAATCAGAACAAATGCATACAGTTCTTAATTCAGCCTTACTTTGGTGCAAGAAGAGGCTTGAAACTGTTTCAAGTGTTTAAAAACTGCAGGTGCACCAAGTGAAGGTGACTGTAATGAGACTTTGTTGCGAGAAGTAGTTGGTTCAATCATTTCAAAGTGAGGGCAAGTTTATATATTATCTAAGGCAAGTAGGAGTTGTCCCTAACGATCTCTGATAGCATAGTGGTTGCGAGTCGGACTGTTAACCTCAAGATCAGCGGTTCGAAACTACCAGCTGTTCATTAGAGAAAGCTGAGGCTTTCTGCTCCGTAAAGATTTACAGCCTCAGAAACCCTACACGGGGTCACTATGCATCAGAACCAATTCCACGGCTTATAACCACCCCCACCAGGAGTTGTCCCTAAATTGGACATTCGTAACCTGGGGACAGCCTGTATTGTTGGTAGGATAAGAACTGTTTGTGTGAGACCTTTTATAAAGACTGAAACGAGTCGTGCTTTACAAAACAAATTTTCTTTTCTCCAATGTCAGATGTTTTGCTTAAGATACCATTCTATTTTCCCTCAATCCTTTGATTTAAATGGAGGAAAATGTTAATGCCATTTAACTCCAGCCATGCCTATTTCAGCATCCCTTCTCCTGTTCTCTATTGGGCCAGTCCATCACTCACGCAGCCTGCTGGCATCTTAGAATGGTCCTGAGTATTAGCGCTGAGAAGCGTCAGGACACCATCTATTAACTTCCTTGTTTGACAAATGAGAAACTAATGACTTAAAGAGATGAAGTGACTTTCCCAAGGGCATATATATAGCTGGAATTTGAATCAGTTGCTAGTTCTTAGTTTCCTGCTGTTCCCATTATGTGCTTTTCTGTCTCAAACTGGCTCCAGGACCATAAAACCTAGAAATGAATCTTTCAAAAAGACATGCAAAATTCAGAGCCACCACTTACACACTTGGATGTCATGACAAAATCAAATTACTATAAAAGTTTCTAAGTGCTTACTCTCAATTTCTGGACTTTTCTCGCCTTGCGTTGTGTCTTCTTAGCAGCTGTGGACTGCACTTAGAGGAACAGGCCAGCGTAAAGCCATGACCGGGAGCGGGAAGGCCAAGAGAGTCCAGGCAAACAGTGACTAGCTGTGTCAGATTCTATTGATAGATCAGTAAGGAAAGGACCCAAATTGATGATGATTTCTTTAGCAGCATAGAGTTCATTAGTGCCTTTCACCAGAGCTGTTTCCAAATGGTGGAGGCAGTGCCTGGTGAGAGTGGTCAAAAAAGAGGAAATGGGCAAATAAGTATAGACAACTCTCCGAGGAGATTAGCTAAACAATTATGGAGAACCTAGGGTGGTTTCTAGAAGGAGGAAATAGAGTTGAGAGAAGAGCATATTTGGTATATTGATGGCAAAGAATCGGTAGGGCAAAGCAGGCGTGGGATGGGTCCTGGAGCAGTAATGCCCTGAAGGCTTGGGGGAGAGGGCGGTGCTCTCTGGGCGCTGGTGGAGAGTTGCCTCTGCCTGGAATTTGGATACTTCATGGTAAGGACAGACAGGGAGGACAGGTAGCTGTGGAGGAGAAGCTTCTCTTAGTAAGCCAGAAGCAAGGCCACAGCTGATAGTGAAGGGGTTGTGGGGGAGGGACTAGACTGGGATAGCACTTTGTGATTGCCGAACAGCTTTGGGTCCACTTGATTTCAGCTCTCATGAATTTGGAGCCTGTCTTGTGCAGTCAAGGTTAGCCACAAGGGTGTTGAGGTAGAGTAGTCCCTGACTCAGTAGTGTTCATTAGTAGGTGATCAGTCCACTTCCATGTCTAGAATCCTGAGCTAGTATTACTTCCCACTGCTCCTTCCAGCAATGCTGTGACAGATGCCAGATTTCCCCTAAAGATGACATCCATCTTCCATTGAAAAATCCCGTGGGGGGAGGAGAAAATCCCACATTCTTTTAATTGAAGTAACTTAACATAAGCCCTTATCGATTCTGATGTTTGATTCTGTTATTTATTGTCTTTTACCTTTTTAAATCACATGTTTTAGTGCTTTCGATTATTGTTCATTGTATTGCAATACTATCATTAGTACTTGACTTTGCCAGTTACTAGCATGACACCAAAGGTAGAACTTACTACAAGAAGACAGATGCCTAAACAGAGAAATGAACACTGTTGGAAGATAGGTGGTGGTGGTGTGCCATGGAATGGGTGCGCACTCGCGGGAACCCTATATAGTTTCTGAGGATGTGACTCTTTATGGGAGCAGGACGCCTCCTCTTTCTGCTGAGGTGGAAGATCGGGAGGTGAGCACAAATGAATGACTTACTTGATCAGAATGCAGGCATTGCCTTTGTCCTCACTGACCAACTTGTGCCTTTTCATCTAAGTGTCTTTTAATCTAAGTGCTGTTTAAGTGTATTTTCAGAATAGTCAAGTACTATGAATTATGTAAAGACTTGAATTTGCCTAGGAATCAGTGTGCTCTAGCTCCTTATTTCAGTATTATAGTGACGATCTACTCACTAATCCATGTTAACAGATGATGAGGAATCAGTACACTGCCTATCTGACAGTAGAGCTTCCTAACATCTGTAAGAGTGGACAGTGATTTTAAAGTAAAGTGTCAGTTATGTCGGCTAATGGTCTGCCTCTGCCCTAGTCTCCCATGCTCTTTCACAAGTTCTCAGGCCTCTGGTTCCTCCCAGCTCTTCCTTCCTCAACCCTCTCATGCACTTTTCTTTGGTACATTACCCAAATCTAGGCTTCATGCGTTCCACCTTGGTACATTCGGAGTACCCTGTAGGCACTCTCACCCTGCCAACATGTTATCCCCCTAGGGAGAGAGCTGAGCATCAGTATTCAAACTCTGTCTGTCCCACTACCCTCTGTAGGTTTAGTGTGTGCCCTAGGCTCCAGTCTAACTGTAACTCTGAACACAGTGCAAAATCACTGTTCATTTCATCTCTCTGTGTAATTAAAGGGCGCAGTATTGATTTTTAAAGATGGGTATTAACAAGTTAACATGTTTGTTTTAACTCTGCTTTGTTAAACACACAAATTAATATTGAGTCATTTGAGATACAAAATTTGCATAGTGTTAAAGGAAAGTGAAGTAGTCTGTAGAGTAAATATTTAGCTATTTTATTATTTATCTAAGATACTGACTCCATTTTAGTCATAGGAACAAATAAGCTTTCAGAAAAGAATTCAAATTATTTAAGGTTTAAAAAAATCATAAGGTACATTTATCCACTTAAGATTGAAGGCCATTTTCTGTAATTTTGTCTACATAATCATAGCAAGGTGGCATGTGTGAGGGTTTTAAGCCAAACAAAGGAGCAGCAGCTTGGACGCCCCCTGGCATATTGTAACCCTACCTGCACAGACCTCACATGCAGCGCATACAGAAAGGATCCCAAGAACTATTTCCTGTGTTTTATTTCTCTAATTGACATTAAAATAACAGTTTATTATCTTCCTGTTTTGATTTAAAATAAAAGTTCTCTACTAATCTGATTTGTAGCAATATCACACATTAAATAAGACTTACTCCCCACGCCAGAAACAATGAAAAAAAACAAAGAACGCTAAAACAAGTTTTAAAAAGCTCCTGAATCAGATCTCTGCTCTTAAATATTTAGATTCTGGCCTTTTGCCTTTTCCATACTATTAAGACTATTGATCACCTTAGATTTTCTTGTCAACCAACAGAATGTTCTAAGCAATAACCGTTACCCAGCAGAGGCGGCTTCTTTTGTCACCTTTGGCACATGCTGAGATCTAAGGAAAGAGATCGAAAGTCTTAAAAGTGGACATAAAATTTCAGCACAGTTCAACAGGTGGCCCTTTGCTGGACAGATGGCCCCGAGTCAGCGGAACGTTATTAGAGTGTGTTCCGTTGGACTTGAAGTGGTCAGGAAGTGCAGCATACATTTTTCTGACAGGAGATGGAAGATTTTGGTACCTGCCATCCTCTAAAGGTGCAGGTTGGTGTAAACCTGTGCTTATTCAGTGTGACACACATGTTCCTTCTGAATAGATATTTTTTGAATACCCTGAGGCTTACATCATTTAGTTATATAGAAAATATAACTATTTATGTAGTTATATTTTAAAAATAACAGTTATATTGAAAAATCTACATATTTAAGTGTATAAAGAGTTTATGTATAAAAATAAGGTGGATATAGAATCGCTTAGCTTTTGCATTGAGCCCATGGAAATAATAGTGCAACATTATCTGTTTCTATAGATATCAGTGTGTTTTTTTTAATAATCATCTTATCTAGAAAGTCATTGCAGAGTTGTACATGTTTATGTTTCCTACACAGATTTTTTTTTTTTTCCTATTCCTGAAGGCTTTTATCTCTTTCAAAAAATTATTTTATTTTTTCAAGTATCCCATCATGTTTATTTCTGAAACATAATAGGTTTAATTTTAACCTCAGGGATTTAAGATCTCTGACCATATTTGCAATATTCAACTTGATTTTAGTAAAGAGAAATTTATCATTTATTTTGAAGTGTTCAAACATGAAAAATTTTAATAATTTGCATGAAAGTTATTAGACTGGGAATTTGTTACTGGTGTTCATTATTCCTAATTTATACCGAATGTCCTTTGCACAAAAAAAGTATACTGCTGGTTACTCGGAGACTGTAAATATCTGTTGACTAAATGAATCTAGTCTTCGAAAGGTATTTCTAATGTCCTGCTTGTCATCTTACATAGTCTTAATAACTTCTTTTATTTTCTAGGCAATGAATGGCTTTTTCAAGGACAGGCGTCATCTGGAGAAATAGAGAGCATTTTCAATCAGCCAACAATATCACTACAGATTCCCGACGACTGTTTATCACTGAAAGCCGTTGTGTCCATCAGGGTGTTTCTTTATTACTGCAGCGCAGACAGCAGTGCCTGTATGATGAAGGGGATTGTGTTCAGTCAGCCTTTACAAATAACTGATACGCTACCAGCTACCACAGCTCCGGTTGAACTGAGATACGTGTTTTAGCTAGCTAGCTAGCCACTCACCTCCACAGCTTCCTGCCTTCATCCTCACCATCACTGTCACTTAGGAAGAACATTTTTTTTTCTGCTTCCATGATACCAAGAAGCCTCTTACTTCAATTCTAGTAGCAGATATTAAAATAAAATTCCACTCTTTTCCTACTTATTTATTATACGCAAATTCCTTCATTCTTGGCTTTGGACCAGCTAAGTATTGATCATCATTTGAACCACAGTCTTGTTATCTGTGCTGCTCTTTGGCACACTGTACTATAGAATATTCTCATACGGTAATAAGCAGTGAATACTGTGATTAATACCAATTATATTTTAACGCACTTTTTCTACCTTTGTTAATCGCAGTCAGCACATTTGACTGTCTCAGTTTTACAGACTAGTCTCCATATTGTGTAAGAACACCTGCCATTCCAGGCCTGAGGTCCTGTTTTAAAACAAGGTGTGTTTTGGGGGAGTGAGGCTGGGGAAAGACTTCTAAGCACAGTAGAAGTTTACAGCGTACCTGAGTGGCAAGTGTTGTTCTTTATTCTCATCTCTGATTGTCTCAGTTGAAAATACAGTTAAAGAGTTTTGATCTGTTTTTATTATAAATTGTTTGTTGTTTATCATACCATTATTAATGCCTTCTAACTTTATAGAGATGAAGTTGAAGATAAAGTCTTTATAAGGATGCATAAACCCATTTCTGTGGTGTCCTGGTTGGCGCAGTGGGTTAATACACCAGACTGTAAAGCTTGTTGCACTGCAGGGTCGGCAGTTCAAGCTTACCAGCTGCTTCTCAGAAACCCTATACAGGGTTGCTTTGGTTTGGAGCCGACTTGACCGGGGTTGGAACCAAATCAACGGCACTTAACAATAACAACAACAAACCCATTTCTTTTAACTTTTTCTGAATGGACACAGAAAAAATTGAGCTCCCTTAAGTAGTATGACTTTCAAGGAGAAAAGAATTGAGAACTACATTTCTGTCTATGATATTATTTAGCTCTTAAGGAATTCACGCTGACCCTTGAAACCAGTGATAATGGGTTTGTGTGCTAGCTTAGAAATTTACATTTAAAATGACATTAAATGTCAATTTGTTGGAGTTTTGTTTTATTGTGATTTTATTTGGTTAAGTTTGATGCCTTGTTCAGAATTGAAATTGTTTTGTGCATTTTTTTTTCAAGCACATTTTAATCCTTCAAAGTGAAACTGTCCATGTGAAATGCTTCCTTGTTATCAACGCTATTAACAAAAACAAAAAACAACCCCGTAGTGGGCTCCAACCCTCAGAGCCCTGGAGAGCAGAGCAGAACTGCTACATAGGGGCTCCGTGGCTCTACACCTTACAGAAGCAGACTTCCCCATGTTGTACCACAGAACAGCTGGTGGATTTGAGCTGCTGACCTTTGGCTTTGCAGCCCAGTGCTTAACCTACTGCGCTACCTCCTAATAGTCTTTATTAAGGCGCCACAGGGACTGATAGCATTCTTCTATTCTTTTTAATCCCCAAAGAAGCAACTACTGAAGATAACACTGAAAAAAAATTTAACTTTTTAACTTTTTAAAAGCCTGTTCTTGTTTGTCCTGAAAGTGATGAACATGTTTGTGATTTAATCAGATGGTCAGATTTTTAAAACATCAGGTAAATTATATTTGTGTATGCAATAGTATTTTTAGACAACATGGCACAATGTGCCTTTTCTTCCCCTTCTATAACAATGCTAGCACTCAAGTAAAATCTTTTAAGCACTGCCTTCTGCCCACTAGTTCATAATTTGAAACATAATATTCCCTTATTTTATTTAGATTAGTTGAATCACTGAGATTTTGAAATACATAGATCATGACTTTAATTTACATATATATTAATGCTGATTTTAAAAGACCAAGTTAAAACTAATCCTGTTTAAGATTATATGTCATTACCTCATAAGCTGTCTCTCAAAAGAAAAAAAAACGTCTGTAACAAAAACAATGTCCATCACTAATATATTCATTTCTTGAGAGTAGGAGTTGCTCACTTTTATTCTTATTTGATTAACTTCTTTTTGCCAGGATCAAGCATTCTGCCTCAGTCATTTCCTATTTAGAATATAAGCAGTTTCACTTTCTAAGCGAAGTGTATGTATGCGCTTATAACCTACTCATTTAGAAATACTTGGCAATTTGTTTTTCAGTATAATGAATACACAAATACATACGTATTCATTAATGTATTTTCATGTAAGTTAAAAATTCAGAAACAATTCAGCAATTTTGTCTCTGTTTGCCTAGACTATTTTAGGTGAGTCTTATGAATATACTTTTCTTGATTTTCCAAGTACAGTGTTAATGAGCACTCTTATGCTTACCTAGCCACCTGTCTGCATTGGGGTGGTTTTTTTTTTTTGTTTTTACATTAAAAATTATATTTTATAGTAGATGGGTATGGTTTTAAGTAAATAGTACCAAAGTAATATGAGTAGGTTCCTAGAATTTGGGACTAACATGAACCTCTTATATAATAGTGAAGCACTAAGAACTTTCGTTTTGATCCTAGTCTACCTTCTGTTTTCTGTAAGGACTTCTGTGCATTTTTCATACCATTTTGTGTGTGTGTGTGTGTGTGTGTGTGTGTGTGTGTGTGTGTGTAGTCTGTAGGATAAGCACTGGACTGCTAGCCACATGATCGGTGGTTCAAGCTTCTGCTTTTACTATTGCATAAATTATTATGTCCAGTCACAGTTTTAAAAGAGTAAGATTTTAGTGTAAGACTAAGCCAAGTGCTATGGTATGTAGCTGTCTACGTTTTAGCATTTTACATGGAATCTTTGTCCTAAGTTGTTTTGCTGTTCTGTCACTTTTTGCCCTCCCCTCTTTGTGGTATAATATCACAAAAGGTAGAAGTTTTTTTCCTGAACTTGTACTCCCTCAGTGTTGGTTTGATTCTTGTAAAGAATTTTGCTTATCTGGAGTATGCTGTCTGTCTTAAGCAAATATTTAACCCTTATATGAAAAAATGGAACTTGGCAGTTGAATCACCCATAGATCTAACTTTGGCAAAAGTCAGTGACTGAGAAACAATTTTCTCTTTAGCTATTCTAACGATATATTTAGTTGTAGAATTAACAAACCTGTAGACAGCTATAAATCTTAACACAGCCAAGAAAGTGTTAATGTGTGTGTGCACATTAAACAGATACAAAGATTATTCCAGGGTTTCCCACACCTATTTTATGATCATTATAGTTTTGGGGATAATACTACTGAAGTAAACTAGTCATGTTTTTTTAATAATGAATATTTGGGGTCAATATTGAAAACATATGAAGGGGCTTCAAAACATTCATGCAAAAATGGAGTTAAAAGATAATGGAATTTTTCCACAAACTTTTTGAAGTCCCCTTGTATACCTCTGAAATAATATTCTTTTCTATAAAATTTACTGTTAGTTTATATTTGCAAATTTAAAAAACTTTACTTATCTATTTGACACCATATTTAAGAACAATCACCAAAAATGTACTATGCCCATGGAATATGGCAGCAGTGCCTCCTCAGAATGAAGCCACTATAGAGCTTTTAGGTCTATTTTTCTGTTAGTTTTTTATAATGAGCAATGGGTAAAATTTCAAAGTAAGAAAATGAAACTGTAAATATTTTTTAGAGATTTAAAATTAACTGTATAGTAAGCATTTACTTTGTGGTAACCTTTCTCAAGTCACTTTTATTACCAAAGATCAGAACATACTTTAGAGGTTTTTGGTCTACCAAATCTCTTTACTTAACTTTACGACTTGGTCAAGATAGAAATAATTGTGCCTTTTTTCTTTGTGTGTTTTTATTGTGTAATGGTTAAAATCACCAACTTTAGAGTCAGTTGGATTTAATTCTGTAAAGTGGACTGATCTACCTACATCGTGGTGGTGCTGTCAGGACATGGTGAAACTGTGTAAAGCATTTGGCATTTGGTAATTAGTTAGATTTCTGAGTTTTGTCTTGATTAACATGTCTGACTGTAGCCACACGTCTGACATTTTCTTTGCAACTACAGTTCCTAAAGGAGAAAGCTATTTCCTTGCCAGCTCTCTATTACACTCTCCAGAGAAGTGGGCCTCAGGAGTGGAATATAGTTTGATAGCAGAGCTTATTCCTATTTTGTGAAGCAGTTGTAAACTTATAAAGAGGCAAACCTACAGTTTTGTTTTTTAAAAGAACCACCTTCTGGAACTCTGAATAATAAACTTCCTTTAAGAGGGTCCAGACACACTCACCCTGAGCCACATTTCTGTACAAGTGTCCACCAACTTGCACCAGGAGACTAACAAATCTTTGCCAGGTGTCTTTACCACTAAGAGTGCTGTCCAGTCTTCAGTGCTTTCATGTGTGTGGCCTCAGCTGAGCTTCAAAACTGCCTTGTAAATGTTATGTCCGTTTTGGTGTTGTTAAGTGCCGTCGAGTTCCTACACATAGTGACTCGGTATAGTGTTCCCAAGGAGTAGCTGATGGGGTTGAAGCTCCAGCCTTGCGGTTAGCAGCCCAGTGCTGACCCTCCAGCACCACACCGTTTTACAGAGGAGGAAATGGCCGCAGCATGTTGATGGTCAGCCAGGCCCAGTGACTAAAGCATGAATCTGGTCATGGTGGATCTGAGATTCCAGATAGGTCTTCTCATCCCTAGTTCTACTCTTACATGGAGAGGGGAAACGGCGAAATGAAGAGCTCTTATTTACTGTATGAACACACTCTTAAACCTTTGCAGTATTTAAATAAAGTAAGAAAAATAACAGCTAACCATTTATTAAGTGCTTACTCTGTACCAGGCATTTGCTTTTTTTATGTGTTAATTTATTGAATCCTCACAACAGCTTTCTGAGCAGATGTTGTGTGTTTTGTATTTAATAGATGAGGAAAGAGTTGGACCTAATCAAGGTCACATGTTTTGGAAGCAAAGAGCTAGGGTTGGAGGTTGGAGGCTGCGTAACCACATTAACCACTATGGTGTTTAGTGCTGTCGGGTCAGTTCTGACTCATAGCAACCCTGCACAGGGTTTCCAAGAGTGCCTAGTGGGTTTGAATGGCTAACCTGGTGGTTAGCAGTCTGGTGCTTATCTACAGCGCCACACCAGGACTACATAGTGCCTCTCAGATTTTTTTAACAAA